TAACTTTGTTTGTATGTGGTGATATTTTTATCTTAATGTTAATGTCGTTCAATTTAGTAATGCGTTTGACTTCGAACTTAATTTTGACAAATTTTTATTTTGGTTTTGGTAAAATTCGTAACACGAAAACTGTAGTTATTTGGATTAGTTTTTAAATCCAACTTAAATCCTCTAGTTTAGATGTCGTATGACAAAGTTATGCATGAATGAGTCACATTTTGAATTTTAGATACCTCAATACATCAAAATTGTGGGCAGTATCCATTGATTCATGTATATCTTTCTCGTCCGACATCCAATTTTGGTGATTCAAGTTGGATTAGAAAACTAACCCTGAATAGTACAAATTCTATTTTTCGAGTTTTGCAAAATTTGGAATTAAAAATGATTAAAATCACGTTTGTAGTCGTAACAGTATTATTAAAGCTCGAACGACATTTATCACATCCCCTTTTTAATTGAGATTTGATAATTTTAACGTAAGTTATTGGATATGTAGTTGTTATATACGCTGTTTAGTAATTTCTGTATAGCATTTATCATTTTATATTTCTGTTGTTAATAAAACGTGTTTAGCTATTACGTTTTTATTAGTTTTTCCTTTCTTTTAGCACTTTTAGGTAGTTATTGTAACAGCTATTTAAAGCTTATTTTGTTACCGTTGTAAAACACTTTTTTTTCTTCTTCAATAAAATTATTCTTCTTCTCCCTTTTTTGATTTCTTCTTTGATATGAACCCTAGATTAGGGTTCTAACATGGTATCAGTTTTTCATTGATTCGATCGTTTTTTCCAGTCAATCGATCTTTTTTCTTCTCGTTTCCGCGCGATTATCTTCTATCATCTCGATTGTTGTTTCTGGTGTTTATAATTCATGGCGCCGCCAGCTCGTTCTCCATTGGATGATGTTTCGCATCCGATGTTTCTTCATCCGTCTGATGGTCCAAATTTGATTCTGGTTTCGCAGCTCTTAACTGAAGACAATTATGCTTCGTGGTCGCGAGCTATGACTATTTCATTAACGGTGAAGAACAAAATTGGTTTCATCGATGGCACGATTTCTGAGCCTGCTGCTGATGAGTTGGTTATGCGAAATGCTTGGATTCGGAATAATAATATTGTCATGTCTTGGATTATCAATTCGGTTTCCAAGGATATTCAAGGTAGCATTATGTATTCAAATTCGTCAAAAGAAATTTGGGATGATCTGAAAACTAGGTTTTCACAGACAAATGGTCCTCGCATTTTTCAATTGCGTCGTGATTTGGCGAATCTTACCCAAGGCAGTCAATCAGTGAATGTATATTTCACTAAAGTCAAGGCGATTTGGGATGAATTGGTGAATTATAGGCCATGTTGCTCTTGTGGAAAATGTGATTGTGGTGGTTTTGAAAAATTACAGGCTCATTATAATCAAGAGTATGTCATGAGTTTCCTTATGGGGTTGAATGAAAGTCTAGCTTCTACTCGTGGTCAAATCTTGCTCATGGATCCGCTTCCTCCCATATCTAAGGTGTTTGCATTCGTTTCTCAAGAAGAACGTCAGAGATCAGTTGTATCTTCACATGTTGAGTCTTCTGGTTCTGTTTTTTCTGTCAAGAATGAGGGGTTTAAGCGGTCCATTAATAATCAGTTCTACAATACTGGTTTCAAGAAGAAAGAACGAAGTTTCTGCACACATTGCAATATGCAGGGTCACACTGTGGAGAAGTGTTACAAACTTCATGGATATCCTCCATCTTATAAGCCACAAAAATCTCGTTTTTCTTCTCCTGCTAATCAGGTTTCTGGTTTTGATTCTTCTTTGGATTCTCATTCTTCAGATTCAGGTGTGAGCTCTCAACATGTGGATGGTTATCTTCAGTCCATGACTCCCTCTCAATGTCAGCAGTTTATGTCTATGTTTTCATCACACATGGCTGCTCAACAGCAACAATCTGCTGCTTCTGCTCAGCCACAATCTTCTGCTCATGGAGCTGATACTGCTACGGTTTCTTGTGTGACAGGTACTTGTGCTTTATCTGGTGCTCCTTCTTTATCCTCTACTGATTGGATTTTAGATTCAGGTGCTTCTAAACATATTTGTCATGATAAACAGTTGTTTATTAATCTCAGGTCTGTTAGAAATTCCAGGGTTCTTTTGCCTGATTCTTCTGTTTTAATTGTTTCCTTTGTGGGTGATGTTCGTTTGTCTAAGGAGATTTTTCTTACTGGGGTTTTTTATGTTCCTCAGTTCAAATTTAGTCTCATTTCTGTGAGTGCTTTTCTTCAAAACAATCAGTTTTTTATTGGTTTCTCTACATTTAATTTTGTCATACAGAACAAGTTCTTCAAGATGATTGGCAGGGGTAAAAAAGTTGAAGAGCTTTATGTTTTGGATTCACCTCCTTTTCTGCCACCTCTTTCCATATCTTCTTGTAATTCTGTGTTTTTTTGTAATCAAGTCTCTGCCACTGTTTGGCATAAGAGGCTAGGTCATATGCCTTTCAAGAAATTGGGATTTTTAAAAGCTTTTCTTCCAGTTTCTTCTGGTTTTGCTGCTCCTAAAGACAGTTGTTGTCATGTTTGTCCTGTTGCTAAACAAAAGAGACTTTCTTTTCCTTCTCATAATCATGTTGCTGATCATACTTTTGATCTCATTCATTGTGACATTTGGGGTCCTTATAAAGTTCATTCTTATAATGGCTTCAAATATTTCATTACTATAGTAGATGATTGTTCCAGGTATACATGGGTTCATTTGGTTCACTCTAAATCTGATGCTTTAGTTATGATTCCTCGTTTTATTTCTATGGTTCAAACTCAATTTGGTAAGACCATTAAAGTTTTTCATTCTGATAATGCTCCAGAGTTGTCTTTGAATCATTTGTTTGCTCATCTAGGCATTTTACATCAGTTTTCTTGTGTGCAAACTCCTCAACAGAATGCTATTGTTGAGAGAAAACATCAACACATTTTGAATGTGGCTCGTTCTTTGTTTTTTGAGTCAAAAATTCCTGTTGAATACTGGAGTGATTGTGTTAGTACTGCTGTTTATCTTATTAATCGTATCCCTTCTAAAGTTTTGCACAATGTTTCTCCCTACGGTATTCTTTATCCTCAGTCTCCTTTTGATTATTCTAGTCTTAAGGTTTTTGGTTGTCTTTCCTTTGCTTCCACCTTGGCTGCTGCTAGAGATAAATTTCAGCCTAGAGCAAGGTCTTGTGTTTTTATTGGGTATCCTACTGGTGTTAAATGATATAAACTCTTGGATATTCACAGTAGGGAAGTGTTTTTTTATAGGGATGTGATATTTCATGAGGATCAGTTTCCTTTTGCCACCATTCCTCATTCTTCCACTGAGTCTATGTTTGATTCTCAACATGTTGTTCCTCTTTCTCAGTCTATTCCTCTATCTGCTGTGCCCACTGAGCCTTATGTGGATCCTGTGCCTTCTCCTTCTACTTCTCAGCCTAGAAGGTCTGGTAGGCAGATTAAGCCTCCTTCTTACTTGACTGATTATGCTTGTTTTGGGTTGCATAAGTCTCTTTATCCTATTGCTTCTGTTTTGTCCTATGATAAGTTATCTAGTGATTATAGACATTTTGTTCTTAATCTTGGTCATGATTCTGAACCTCATACTTATAAACAAGCTGTTCAGCATCCTCAATGGGTTAGTGCTATGCAAGAAGAGCTTGATGCTCTTGAGGCCAATCACACTTGGTCTTTGTTACTTTGCCTCCTGATAAACATGCTATAAGTTGTAAATGGGTATATAAACTCAAGAGAAAGCAAGATGGTTCTATTGACAGGTATAAAGCTAGGTTGGTAGCTCGAGGTTTTACTCAACAAGAAGGTGTGGATTATATTGATACTTTCTCACCTGTTGTTAAGCTTGTTTCTGTTAAGGTTTTGCTTGCTTTAGCTGCTGTTCATGGTTGGGAACTGCATCAGCTGGATGTTAATAATGCTTTTCTCAATGGAGATTTGCATGAAGAAGTCTACATGGATTTGCCTTTGGGATATTCCCAGTCCTCTATGTCTCCAGGTTCT